AGGAATTACCAGAGGTCCTGCTCTAAACTCATCCATAAAGCATATCAACTGACTTCCTAAATTATTAAGTCAGTGTTTACTTGGTCACCTCATCTTCCTGAAATGTGCAATGAAGACAGATATTTGAAGCCACATGGTTCAACGGCAGAGGATTAGTCCTCTGGATGGTTTCTATAAATAATTTCTAGGCAGTTTATTCATTGTAGCTGATTAAGAGACAAGTTTAGAAAGACAAAGAGAAAAAAATGGAAACTGCTTGCTCTTATTTTGATATGGTTCTCACAGTAATGCAGCTCAAATAAAGACAGCCTTTTTCTAGTAGGAGCTGGCTGATACCATCTCCTTCAGCAATGCTAACATAGTATCAGTTAATTGTTTTACTAAAAATTGAATGTTTCAGGAAATTACCAAAACAGTGTTCAGCTGTTACACAACATAAAAAGTATATAGAGAGACTTTATTAAAAACATACAGCAGTGGAGTGCTCCTTCTTTTCATGGAGCCTTGCACTTCGACGTTCCTCAGAGTACGCATGTTGCTTTAGGGCATTGAAGACTTGATTTGACAGCTTTAAGTCCATCCCAATTCCATCCCCAACTTGGAATTCAGGTGCAAACTACAAGTAGAAATAATAGAAATTTAAGCATTGTTACTAGCAGACACCAAAAGTTGGCACAAGCAGAATTTTCTCATTCTGATTTGGAAAAACCTAGGGTAGATTAGGACCTATGTGAAACCCACTTTGTGTAATGCTGTCACTATGTTAAAAACCATACCGCTCTAAACTCAGGACTCAAAGTTCTGTCCAAATTGATATGAGATTACCTAATATCCTGTAAAAATAGCACTTGCAGCATTTCCTTATTTGCAGAAGTTGCACCAGTTACATTTAAAAAAAAAAAAAAAGGAAGGTATGTACTATGGATAAACAGACGGAAAAGCTGTAAGTCAAACAACTGACTGAAAATAAGTTACTTGGCTCATCAGGCAAAATGAATTTAGAAAAAAAAAAAATTAGGTTACACAGTAGCCTTGGTGTTTTATTTGCCTGTGTACCAAACTTGCTGATAGTTTTGTTTTGCCATGACAGTTCTGTGCAAATTCTTGAATTGTGGTCATTAACAAACTATTATTAAAAAAAAAACCCGCACAACTCAAACTGTCAATTTGAATAACTAATCCAAACACTGCATTGATTTCACTTGATGAAAAAATAAAATAATCAGCACTGTATATAGTAGCACAGATGGACAAGCATTAGTTCTTTGGTTAAATTACAGCATTCCAGTTTTACACACAAAATAAATTTCCCTAAGTTTTCACTTACATTTTCCATGCGAGCAGTGTTCTTTCTTCCACATACCACTTCATCGTGTTTAGTAGTAATGTCTTTTCCTTTTCCTATGAAGCCCTTTCTTGGTGTAGTAGTAGGTTTATCTGCCAGCAGTGAGAAAAATAAATCAAACTTTACATCTAAACAAACATAACTAATGCTCATAAAGGTACAATGCCCACAAAAGTAATATAATTTTATTTATTAAATGGAATAAAATACTTCAATTGTATGATCTTTACACAATTTTCTCTTATCCTAAGCATGACAGCTTCCTTTGCTATGTTATGACTTCTGTCTTCTCTGGGGCGTCAGACACACTTTTGGCCTGTTAAAGACAGGAATATTCGATATCATGTGCAGATGCCCCTAGCCAAATGTAGATAACAGATATGCATATCCCACAATACTTTCCATGTACAATAGTTATTTTGCCAGATTCAGCCAATATACTGGCAGACAGAAGCCTGAAGTTACCTGCCCAACTTCCCGCATAACACCTCCCAATTAGGTGACCTGATTTTACATACAACTGGTATGTCTCCTTACGTTCAAAAAAACTAATTTAACTATGTCATACTTAGGTCTATTAACCGAAGAAATTGTATTGTTTCAAACTGCCACATACCTGCTCTATAAGGATCATGACGGGTATCCTGCCAATCAACCTCATCCTCTGAGCTGTCACTGTCATAGGGATGCACCTTCCGATAATTTTCAAAGGATATGGAGACTTGAGAAACAAAACAAATAAGCACGTCCGTGATTATCAGGGATTTGCTACTTCCTCACAGCTCTGTCAACTTAAGCAGAGTGCCAAGAATATCTCCAAAGCAAAAATATTTCTTCTGATGAGGGTACCTTTGCTATCTCCATTGATTTTCTTCTCTTCACGCCGAAGCTGTGCATCATATTCCCTGTCAAATTCCATCTGCAGCATCTGAGCTAACATTAAGTCACTAGAGGTGTCAATGTTTTCTCCTGTAATAAACGGTCCTTCAGCAACACTATGTAAAATGAAAACAGAAATTAAAAAATTAAACACAGTAATCTAAACAAAAACACCACTTTATACCATTTAATCACTCTATACAAAAGACTTCATGCAGAGCTGCATAGAAACTAATGTATCTCAACTGTCTGTCCCCCCTCCAAGCCAACACTAAATATTAATAGAGCATGACTTCATTTCTCTTTGCCACTTCTTTACAATGCAAATATTACTTAAACTTTTACTTGTTTTACATTCTGTAAAAAGGATTAGGCTCTATTTTTAAGATGCCCTTCATGAAAGAGAAAGAAGGCATTAAGCACATTGTAAGAAAATGCACAAGAGAGAAGATGGCTTCACAACTATGGAGATCGCTAATCCAGGATTTAAACTTACGCAACCACTTCAGGAAAAGCAGCATTTTCTTCTTCCAGCTGCAGCTCTTTCGCCAGCTGTTCACTCATTACATCAGCAAGGGAGCATGATATTGATGTTGTGTTAGGGGCTCCCCACGGACACTGTAAATAAACATTTTATTCAAGTCAGCAAAAAATGCAGTGGCAACACAATAATCAGGATAATTAGCTATCACTGGCTCTAAAATAAGCTCATGTAATCGCATAAGAGTTTGTCTTATGCAGATACTTAGGGAAGTATGATGAACTGAAGTACAGAAAATACCTCAAGGAGTAGTTTCATAAACTCAATAGGGAGAACTGTGATTGAAAGGATGTTGATGGTCACTCACTAATGGGGGGGGGAAGAGTCAGTTTGTCAGTGTCAGTATCCTTTGAAGACAGGGGCAAAGCCTTCCCAGAAAGTTTGCTTACAAGTACGCACAGTCTATGTAAAACTTTTCTTGGAATAACACAACGCTAATGGCTTATGCACAGCTTCCTCCCCCGTTTCTAGAGCCCTGAAAGGACAGCCATCATAAACATCCCCTCAAAAACGCAGAAGCACACACACAACTTTGCCTGGGGATGCGGGGGTTGAGGAATAATGAATCCAACCAAGTTGTGACTCACTGCCTACCGCCTTGATAACCAAACTCACTTAGATCCAATTCCCTGCTCACCAACAGAGCTTGGAGAGAAGCAGCTCATTTATCAGGGCCCAACAGCAGCTCCCTCCACCAAGACCACAACTGCTGGTAGCAGCGAACCACGCCATACCCTGTCCAGCGCGGCTCATTTCTCACTGAGGCAGCGGAGCCAAGCGCTCAGTTTGCCAAATAACTGTGACCCTCGTTTTGTTGACCCCAGCGTCCTCCCGACGGCCTCAGCCCGCTCGGAGGGAGGCGGGCGGAAGAAAGGCAGCCGCGTACCGGAGTTACCTACGTGCCTGTCCCCCTGCCGTCAGCGACGGTCGGCC